GGGGAGGGAGGAGGGTCCTCGCTCCTTCGAGACCACCCTGGAGCTCCCGAGGAGGGCCGGGGGCCGCACCTCCCACGGGCAGGCCGGGACCCGCGAAGGGGGCGCGGCCCGCCGGGGGCCGCATTCGAACCCCAGACCGCTGGCCCCCGGCGGGGCTCTTGCCGGGAGGTTTGAGACGGCCCCCAGAGGCCCGCCGCGTTCGGGGCACCCTCCGGGCGAGTGTCCGTCAGTCAACAGGTGCTTCGCGGGGCGCCCACTGCGTGCCCAAAGCCGCCGCGGCCGTGGCGCCGCCTTCTCCCGCTGGCCACGCTGCCTCTGCATTGTGGGCGCGTCCCCCGCGTAATCGAGGCTCTTTCCTTTTGTTTAAGAGTATGTAGAGAAGCCCTTGAAGCTGGTCCTCAAAGTGGGAGGGAACGAAGTCACCGAGCTCTCCACGGGCAGCTCGGGGCACGACTCAAGCCTCTTCGAAGACAAAAACGATCATGACAAACACAAGGACAGAAAGCGGAAAAAGCGAAAGAAAGGAGAGAAGCAGGTTCCAGGGGAAGAAAAGGGGAGAAAACGGAGACGAGTAAAGGTAAATGTCGTTGCGTGGCTTCAGCGTTGCTGGTCGCACCGCTTTCAAGAGTTCCCGCCGCCCGCTGCCAGCCTAACTTTATTCTCTTTGTGTCTAGCGAGACGCTAAAACGCCTGTAAAATCTGCCTTGTTTTGAGGAGGAGCAGGGCAGCACAGAAACATGAATCATCTTTGAGTTTCAGCAACTCTCGATTGTAATTATACTCTTAGTTAAACTCACAACAAGTGAGCGAGCAGCTAAGTCCTGAATTTCAGGAGCTGTGTCAAAGTACTTTCTCCACCCAGGAAAGGTAAAAGTCATGCTCAAAAAAGCCTCAGTGTTGGAGCTTTGTCAAAAATCGTCAGTTCAGAAGTGATAGGGATCTGTTGGGGTTCAGATTTTGTTCTGACGTAAATGAATACTGTAATGCCAGATATATAATGAGCAGCTTTGATCTTAAAGCTTGAGTCTGTTGAAGAGAAAATTCGATCAGAGACCTTTAAGGGATATGACACCAGTGATAAAAATAAGCATTGTCTTAACCATTTGCAGTTAATAGGAAAAAGGGGGGAAAGTAGCTGCTGTCTTGGTTCACAGGCTGGTCAAAATAATAATTAACTTTGATGGATGATCATATACATATCTGGAATTGTCCTAGACTTCTGCACCAGATTTAACCTGTCACTGAGTGACTTACTAAATCAATTACTGGGTCTTGAAAATAGATTTCCATAAGTTAGCTTTGTAATTTTTCTTACATTTATATATAACAGCAGTGTTCTGTTCCATGGGATTAAACACGCCGTAAGTCACTAAAGCTTACAGACTCTTTAAAATTTCTTAAATCTGTTATTTTTTGCCTCAGTTTTTTTTTTTTTTTTTAAGATTTTATTTATTTGAGAGAGAGAGAATGAGAGA